GCTGTAGAAGGAATGATTTCTAGTGAAAGCCTAAGACCTTAAAGCTTCCTTTGCAAGCTGTACACTCAGCTTCAAGCTCTGTGAATCCAAAATGTGATAGCAATTCACACAGGCAATTTAGCTAAGTTGAAACCAGCTTGATGATTTTGAAAGAGCAACAGCTGTAACAGCATGGAGCCTGTGTGAGCTGGACAGTAGAGTATCCACTTTTTGTATGGCAGTGTTATTCCAGCTGTGGTTGCAGTGTGTCTCTTGTATATGAAGTTATTCTGGACCTATCCACTCAATTTCTAGTTCTTCTCTGTTAGTCTCACAGTTTTTCTAGTATAACAAGAATTGGGAGATGAACCAGCTCAGTGAGGAATGGCAGTGACTTGGATTTTAACCTTGGCTGTCAGTTACAGGTGTAAGTTCTCTAATGCTCTGACTGAGCTTCCAGTGTCATGCTGGCCTGCYTTGTCTCAGTTTTCGGGGCTGATAACCCTGTGGGTTGCACTGGCTATGTAAGATGCTAGAGGCTTGTCCCGAATAGTCTTGAGGTGTAACCCAGTGAAACTGTATTTAAAATGTCATTTAAAGAAAAAACAGATATGGGTCTGACTACTAAGTCTTACTTCCCCCATTGGAATGGGAGGCTAATAATACGGGGGTTCTGTTCTCTGACAGCCCTCCTGATAGTATTTTTCATTGATCTTTCTCTTTCCTTTAATCTGTTGTGTGACAATCCATGGACAACCTGAGGAACTTGAGTTCCTTGCTGCAAACCAAGTTGTTGAATTTCATTATGTGTGTTGGGTTAAGAGTGCGTGTGCACACACCTGCACACCTACTGTAGCTCAGCTCCTGTAATTAAAGTTGGCCAGGTTGCATTGGTAGAGCATGGGCTTAGCTGAGGCAACAGATTGATAGCCTGATGCAAAAACTCATCTGAGGCTGATAGAAAGATTTCTGTTGGTTTGCTGGTTGCTGGATCTTGTTCTGTGGCAGGATTTTCTTTCTATTATAATCTTAGCATCTAATTAGGGGGGCTAGACAAAGAGGAGTATTGGGGACACATACTTCTCCACTGAGTATTTTGTGAGACTAGGTTAACTTTTTAGTCTGACTGTCAGGACTAAAGTAAGGAAAATCTTTGGGTCTGTGTGATCCTCCTGTGCTGGGTCACACACAAGCCTATGAAAGGTCCAGGAAAAGACTTGGATCCCTTGCGTGCTGCTCTCTTGTGTTGCCTGACTGTGCTAGCAAGGAAGGGAAGTGCGGGGCTGCTGCACAGTGGGGAGCATTTATTGCCTGTGCAAACAGCACAGCTTCAAGTAGCCATGTCATAAAATAATGAAATTGCTCCTGGGTTTTGCCCCTGAAAGGCAGACTCCTGAATGTTTTCCATTGTTGCGGGAAAGAAATGTAAGTCGTGGCTGTTAATAGGCTTAGCACGTTAATGACCTAATTGACTCCTGTCTGGCTTGGATTAACTCTTGTGCACAAGGAGTTCAGAAACAAAGAAATTAATCCTCTCTGACACACAGAAGGTCCATTTCTAATGAAATTGCATGGCAGTGATGATGTAGGGGCTTGCTTCCAGCATTTCTCTTGGGTAAAGGTCTATTTACTGTAGTACTACCCAGTATCAGCAGAGTAAAGGACTAGTTTCTGTTATAGATTCAATTTATTTTCTTAGTGGCTTGTAATTCAGCTTGGGCTAAAACTTGGCAGGAAAGGATGGGGTTATAACTAATTAAGGAATATATTCACATACTAGAAACTTTAGATACATAGAGCTATGCTAGCAAATACATACACAAACATTCACGTATGTATAAATAGACTAGAAAGTGAGTATTTTTCAAACCCATGTAGTTGTTGCACTTAGTTAAGGATTGAAATTCCTCATTTTTTTTCTAGAATTTTTTGAGAACTGACTTTAATTTTCCCTTGGAATTTAACTCATTTTTACCCGTCACTATTTGAAACTATTTGTGATTTTGAAATATAAACCATCAGGTGCTGAGGCTTTTCATAAGTTGTTGATCACATCATAAGTATTAAAATGATGTTAGCAGAATCAGTGACGGAGTTTCACTGACAGTTACTGTGGTCCTTTGATCAAACTTATTGATTTAAAAAAAATACATGACCTTTAAATAAGGTTACATGTCCTTATTTAATCTGCAAGTGCCATGTGTTGGTGCTGTTGAGTGGGTATAGAGCATAACTTCAGAGTATTGCTCTTGCCTCTCGCCTGGAAGTGTGGTACTTTGGTCACAAATGCAGGCCATGGGCAAGGAAAGCAGAGTTAAACAGTGCTTAGGGCTAGGTGTTGCTATAGCATTCTGTTTGGGTAAGCTTTGTTTAAAAATCTAAGAACTCCTTTAGTCTAAGCAGCATAATGTTTTACAGCGATAGAAATACTATTTCTAAACTGCAGGCTAACTTTGTGGGAATAAAGTTCTTCCTGAAATAATCTGTATAGGAGGATTAATCTGACTGGAGTCAAGGGAGTGGGAAATCACTTAGTCCCTTGTAAAGGTGCCTACTAATGGGTTAAAACATCGCAGTCTGTGGATTCTGGACTGGTGTTTTAATTTCTTTTGTTTAAATTCTAAAGTGCTCCAACAGCAAAGGACAGATCCCATCATCATGGGCCAGGTGCTGTTGTTAGTCATATGATATGTGTATATGTGCTATTTTTATCACCTGTCATCCAGCAGGAGAAAGAACTCAAGTCACAATGCACATTTCTGCTCAGACATGAATGTGAGCCTCTGTGAAGCAAACAGAAAACCCATTAAAAGGCTTCCAGGTGCATTAGGGAAAGGAAGGGAAGGCTGGGTTTCATTTGCTCTGAAGCCTGGTGTCAGTAGAAACTTGGGAAATAGCTTCACACCGGTGATGTGAAACTTCAGTTCTTATCACTAGACACTGGGCTGCAGCTGGGAAAGGCGCCTTCTATTCTGTTATTCTTCAGATGTTTTAGAAAACTAAACAACTTTGAGTGCTTCATTCTCAAAGATCCTGGGCTAACGGTCTTTCTGCAGAGAATTCTTGTAGGGAATTTTGTCTTTGGATTTTAGCAGGATTTACATAAGTAAGAATTTCTGTGCAGGTGAGCCAAATGGGGTTTAAGACAGCTTTCTGCATGAATGTACCCTCCATCTTTATTGTGCCCCTAGATTTGCCAGACCTCCAGACACAGAATTCCAGTTTCTTCTCAGGACCAAGAAGCCCCTTGAGAGACTAACTTCTTTCTTGATAGCATCTGCCCTTGTTACTGTTCTCTGACCCAGCAGAGACAGGAAGTAGGTCGGAGAGAAGGCCAGCTGGAGAGCTCTCCTTTCCTAAATCCTTGTATGCAAGGTTGGGGGATAGGTGGAGAAAAAAGAAATTCTTTCATGGCCCTGTCTCTGGGTGTTTTCTGACCAGAGATAGTTTACCAGAACAGTTATATTTCCCAGGCAGAATATCACAGAATTACAGAATATCTGTGCTTCTCCTTTTCTTCAAGCCCAATAAAGAAGCTTACTAAGTACTTAAGCAATGAAAAATGTTTATTACTTGTGTTGAGTACAGTTTGAGTAAATAACTACTTAATTTCAGTGTTGCATGAAATGTGTCCACAAATGCTGTACGGTATATAAAGTTGTTTCCAGGCAACAATATCCTCTACATCTCCAGGCACAGGAAGTTGATATAGTTTTGTTGGCTGTTATGGAAGAACAGTAGTTGAACATCAGCTGAGACCCAGTTGTATATTTTATATCGTATACCATTAAGATTTATAGGTGGGAGAAGATTTTTAGTATTTCTTCCAGGGAGAGGGGAAGGGGGATACTGGTTTTGGAAAGGTAAAATCAAACCGAATTATGAAAGCATGGATATCTCTTGTAACCATGTCATTTTAAAAAAAACAAACCTTTATGTCTTTGGGAAAAGGGAAATTCTTTAACTTTTCTAAAGGTCTCCAGTGATGTATTAAAGTCCCCTTACATAGAGGGGATTTGATACAAAATACAGTGCAGGAGCGTGAAAGAGAGCAGCTTGTCTTTGGGGAGGAAACTTATTATTTCGTGTTTATGATGCAGACAACATAAATTACCCCTAAATGTGACCCCTCCCCCCCTTTTGTTTTAAAGCCCCAGTT